TGATTGATGCTGAAATAATATTTTTTTTTTTGTATTATAGCTAGAAACCAGAGTGTGATAGTGTATTTCAAAAGAGCGGAACAGCCTTTTTTTGGGGCAGAAAAGGTCCATTACTGACTTGTTTTCCTGTCATTACTGGCTTTCCCAATCTCCAACACTGTTTTTGACTGCTAATAAAAATGGGGAAAAAAAGTCTTCAGTACCATTACAGGAAGGGGATGCAAGACCTTATGAAACGTTATGCCTTATGAAATGGCAGTGACGATTGATGAATGTAGGCCACTTGCCTAGACCTCTTTCTTCTTAAATTCTTTATTTCCCTTGATGTCTACACAGCAATCAACAGTAGCCAGCCTTTGAGCTGAAATTGTTGTTTATCAGGAAAGCCAGTGCCATCTCGCTTGTCCTGTGCTCTCCCTTCCACCATATATTTTAGGGTAGAAATGTGTTGCTATTGTGATTATCTTTCCCCAGGAGTGATTTGTCACCTGTTAACTTCCCATTCTAGGTATATCCAATTGCAGAATTTTTTTTATGGTGGGATTACAGTTCTCTGGGTCAGGGATTCTCTTCTTTGCTGCTGGCATATTTCTTAACCCAGTGAGCCTCATCTGTGGCTTTAGGACTTGGAGGCATCACTTTGGGTATCATTAATGATAATCTCTGTACTACTAAGAATTACCATTGAGCTACTCTACGTGGTCATGTCACGGATAAAGTATCCGTTAATGTAAATGTCTCCAGAAGTGTTCTTGGCAGGGGGAAAAAAGGAATATGAAGTGTAGACATGCAGAAAAGACAGTTATTTAATACAGGACAGCATTATGTTATTTTTCGTTAATGCATTGTATATATTATGCTTTCTGACATAGCTTTAGCAACATGACTTTGTCCAAAACAGTGTGATAGCCAAATACAAAGTTCACTCCCAGCTGTTACTGTTTCTAACTGGGTTATATTTACTAGAAGAAAATAAAGCTTTGCAGGTACTATTAGAAAACAGACAGAATAAATACTAAACAAGCAGTCAGTTATTGTTGAGCTCTGTCACTTAAACAGCTGTATTGACACTTTGCTTTTAGACAGCTCAGTACAATAGGTTTAGTTTGCTAAACATCAGAGTGTGTTGGTTTTGTATAGAAGCTGTGTGTGAACATCCTGAGCTGCCTGACCGTAAGTGGCCAAGAGCTGGCAAAGAACTGACTCTTTAATTCAGTTTTGAAGTGAAGTGTATTTACAAAAGTTACAGGCGTTTCCCCGTGCCTGAGTCTTTTTAGGCTTCTGTCCCACCAGCCGCTAACAGATGCAAGTGTGTGGTTCTGACCCTGCAGCTCACCGTGATGGCTCTGGGCAGCAGATAATTGTTTGACAGTACAATGAAGTTTGGTCAGTTTGGGAAACCTGTGGAAGTTACCTGGAATGAGAAATTGAAGTACAGTTCTAACTATTCAAAAACTTTGATGGTTGTTATTGCTAACCAGCTGGTTGAAACAGCTTGTTTACCTGAAAAACAAACAAAAACAGGAACAAAACCCCACATCCCCCAGAGTGTAACAACGAAGACGACTAACATGGTTGTTCAATGGAGCTGTTGTGATCTAACTAACGATTTTTGCTGTTCCAGGACCACCAGCCTTTTGCAAATGCACATGATGTGCTGGCTCGTTCTCGGAGCCGTGCCAATGTATTGAACAAAGTGGAGTATGCCCAGCAGCGTTGGAAATTACAGGTCCAAGAGCAACGCAAATCTGTCTTTGACCGTCATGTTGTGCTGAGTTAGCTGTGTCTCGGTAAACTAACTCCAGAGAAGTAAATTGGACTAACTGGAAAAGCCGACTTATGTCTTCCTGATCCTGCCAGTTCAGAAGGGGTTTCTTGAGTGTTTCATTATTGATTAAAAAATAATAAAGAAAAAAAGTATTTGAACTTTGAAGGGACATACTGGAGTGGAAGCAGCTAAAAAGATTAGTTAACCAAAAGCTAGAATCTTTACATTTTCAAATGGCTTTTACTAACAAAACTGAAAAGAAAACAAACCCTAAGATGTTTTGGGTTGCCACTGTGGTACCTTATTTACAGTTGTGAATTTATGGTGGTTTTTAACTATATATTTCTCTCTACTATTTATGTGGTTAAAAAGTACCTGGGAACACAGTACTTATAACTCACTGATCACTTTATGTAAAGACCTTTTGTAAATATACTTGGATTTTCTGCTGACTCCTGCTAGGTACTGAAAATTAAATCTTACAGTGTAGTTTTCGTATCAGAGAATGAAATCTTGATGGGCTGTATTCATCATTTGGTTTCTTGCACTCATACTTTAAAGATGCTTGTATGTCAAGTGGTGTTCGCAGAGTTGAGGCAGAACTTTCGTGGACACTGACTCTTTGAGCTGCATACTTAAAAGTACTGTGGTGTAGATACACTCACATGCAGTGCATATCAAGACAGTGTTGGCAGTTCTCTTTCATTTTGCTTTAATAGCTTAATATGTCGTATGTGTATGATATCTCTTAAATCTTCCCTTTCTCTCAATGGGTAAAGTCTCAGGAGTTAGTATATGATGAAATATTTATTATAAAAATCTTTCTGCATCTGTCTGGATTGATGGTGTAAGGCACATACTTTCCCTAGCACCCGTCATCTTGGGATTTAGGTGTATTTTTTTATCTGTGATTCTGTACTCATCTCTCTTAAGAGGTATACAGTTGATAGATGACTAACTTTCATATATCCCCTTTGGAATGTAACAATTAAAGATAAAACTGATTTTTGAAAAATGGATATGCGTTATCTGGATGTCGTCATTTTTCTCCGTCGTTACCCTGCATGCAAATTCCGTTTGTAAAAGCACTTCTCTGAAAATGCTTCAGAATAGAAATATGCACTTTGCTTATGGCTTGATGGTAAATATAATTGTAATATTTAGACATTAAAGTATGAAATGCCAATAGATGAAAATACTGCTTTAGTAAACTGTAGCAGAAGTAGAGGAAGTAAACAAACCACACTCCTGAGTTACTTTTTCAGGCAGCCTGGTTGTTCAATGTATCTTTAAAATTTCTAGCCCTTAATGCCAAGTTTTGTTGCCATCATAGCTGTGATGTGGGTGGAAAAACCAAACCAGAATTGAGCAGATCTAACTGTAAACTACTTTGCATGTTGTCAATTGACTATAAATTGCAGCAGTCATTGACTCAGCGGAACAAGCTATGTAATTCAGGTAAGAGACTTGCATATTGCAGTATCTGGCAACAGATTTTACTGAATTTCAGTGTCTTTGTAGATCACTTTTACCAGCTATCCAGTAACCGTGCTTCCGTAGCTGATTAATGAATCATGTTTAATATAATATCTTATTAAATAAGGTCTAAGAAAAATGAGATATTAACTGTTTTTAATATTATTCAGATATTTTCAGATATTGTTCATCAGTCTTAAAATATCACGTCGTGTTTCCTTGGATTTTACTTTCATCTGAAGATTGGTGAGTTTCTAGTCTAGAAGGAGACTGATCCTAACTTTTGCATTTTGCACTTCATGCAGGTAGTAAGGCCACTCATAGCTGCAATGTAATGCTCTTAGGGAGTAGAAGTGTCAGTACTAAGCAAGAAATAATGCAAATACATGTCTCTTCTTGAGGGGCTGTGTTGCTTTGGTTTTTTGCTCTATACTGATGTTTTGCTATAAAGGTTTTTTTGCCATTTTTTCCTCAGACTATATTTTTAAGTTGTTAGCAGTAGAAAGTTTTTGGACAGTAACCCAACCTGTGTACGTAGAAAAGGGAAAGATTGCTGTCTGAGTGTATATATTCACCTCTGATTTTCTGTATGTATATTGATGCAAAATGGATGCATATTCCTGCTTTCAGCCTCCCTACAGAAGTACTGAAAATATGTGTGACTTCCTGTCTAGTCTAACAGCGTGCTGTAAATGAATTCTTAACTTCTAGGATTACTGTTGCGAGATCTGTGTGCATAGAAAGAAACGACACTGAATAGAGAGGCATTTTTATAGACTATATTGTGACGCCATGTCCTCAGTAAAAATTCTCTCTGTATTAAACATGGCAGGTATTAAGTAATTAGAAAATGTTAAAACGTTCCTGTATCCTTGTGAAGGGTTAAGGGGATCCCATTTATGTTATGGAACTGTGTTTTTTGTGAGTATAGAATCTAGATATTTCTAGTAATCTAGTTTAATGTTCAGGTGTGTTTTTCCTTTGTAGAGAGTGTAATATAACCTGTGGGTTTTAGACAGCAATGTATAGATGTAGAAGTGGATGGGGAGTAAGAGCATTTTTGGATAGATGCTGTGTAGGCAAGTACTGTTTGCAATCCATGAGGATGGATCACAGTAATTCTTTAAAAATTCAGAATTGATTTTTACGTAGCTACTAGTTAACAATCATTGGTTATGCTGATATTTAGCTGTTTGAATAATGGTATTAGGAAGGTATAGCGAACAAGACATCAAATGAATAGAGAGAAAAAATAATTTGTCCTTGAAGGCTTTTTGGTATGGATAGGGACTCTGTTACTGGAATTGTAGGTTTAATTTTTTCCAGGGAGCAGAAGGGAGTGGGGAGAATGATTTAAATGTTGGCCTTTGTTTATTGTATATAGAGATGTAAGTTTTGCTGAATTTGGAGCAAGGTAGACCTATGTGGAGTACCTAAAGGTAGATTCTCTTAAGTTCTAATGCTGAGGTGAAAGGAGACTGTGTGATGTTTCCTTTAGGAAGCTTTACTGGATTTATTTTCTTAAAATCTGTTGTCAAGTATTTTAATCAACGTTGCTTACTTGTACTTTCTTGTATTTTCAAATGGGACATTGTCTGCTCTATGTAACCATCTTCCAACACCATTCTGAAATGTCACAAGTACATTAGAAGTCTCTTCTGGAAAAGGCTTGTAATGTCAAGTGTTGGTAAGTCCAGGTGAGTGTTTATTACTGTTAAGTATGAATTGTTTAAGCTGTTGTGCATTTCCAGGTTAAATGCAGAAGCCGATGGAAGAGAAAAGCTACCGTAACCTCATGGACAAGTTGTCCATCTGTACTGAGACTCAGCGCGTACCGCTGGCCAGGCCTTTCCGTGCTGACCCAGTGGTCACGTTTCACCTGTACCCAGCAAGGCCAAACCAGGTCACTTGCTCTGAAGATTTGTCATTCCGTCCTTTCATGTCTGAGCATCTCATCACAGAGAACTGCTGCAGTGAGCCCTGCACCTCTCCCTACCAAGTGCCCCATTCCAGTTACTGCAGAAGTGAGTACTCCTGTGGGCCCGCTTTCATCAGAAAGAGGAATGAGAGAGAAAGGCAGCGGGTTAAATGTGTCAATGAAGGCTATGCTAAGCTGAGGCATCACCTACCTAAAGAATACTTGGAGAAACGGCTCAGCAAAGTAGAGACACTCCGTGCTGCAATAAAATACATCAGCTACCTGCAGTCTGTTCTGTGCAGCGATTCTGTCGTGGCTGACAGAAATGTCGTGGAGCCAAGCCAAGCACCTAAAGCAATTAACAAACAAAACTGTTTTTTAAAGACGATCTAAACTGTTCCAAACGCCCTGTCTGGGGACCTAGTAGCCACTGTATTATTAATGATGTGCGCGTTCTGACATATCTTGGGAGCAGATCATAGTGTATGTCAGTATCAGCCTGCATAAAGGAGTTTTAATTTTGCAGATAGTAACTACACTTAGATACCAAAAAGACAGCTGGGGAGATCTTATCTGAAAGGCCTAAATTAGCTACTCTGTGGAAATCAGAAAACATTTATAAAATTGTCAGCAAACCAAGAAAGTAATATCGATATGTGTGAAGTAACTGTGTATGTATTGAAACAACCTGCATGCTTTAAAATAAAATCTTTCCACCGATGAGACTGAGATTCTGCTTATTTTCTGTAATGTTACTGGCTTACATGCACTTTCTTAGAAGATTTTTTTGGTCAAATTTCAGTGATTCCCTTAAAAGTAATTTTTAAAGGTTCCAGAATGTTGTTAGATGCCAGCAGAAAGGATAACTTAGTTTTAAAGGGGGAAAGTAAAACGAGGAGGGTAGCAGCTTTCTGAAGCATGGCTGCTGAATGTAGGAAGAGCTTAATGTCTTGCAAGTGCCGTTCCATCCTTTTCTTATTAATGAATATTTTAATCCTTTTAAAAACAGTTGACTTAGCCTTAACTCTTACTGAAAATTGGATTCTTCTTTAGCTGTCAGTGCCCTTAAAATTTACTAGGACTGCTCACATGATACATAATATTAAGAGGCTTGGCGAGATCTTGGCCTTGGAGGGGGGAAGAATCAATCCTGCAACAGAAATTTTTCGGAACTTTCATGGATAATTGCTGAGGTCTGGGATGGTCTTCCCAGTTTGTTCCTCTGTATTGTTGATGATTGCAGCTAAGTGGTGTAGGATAGGTTTATGTCAAGATGGTGAAGAGAGTTTAGCTCCTAACTGGCAATGTGTTCTTAACATTTGTGGTGTGTAAGGGAATTGTATTACTGATATTTAAACAATAATTCTGCTGACAGCATAAGAGCAGGTGGTCTGTGAGTGCAGCAGAATTTGTAGAAAATGGTTATGGACTTACAGATTTCCTAAATGCTCTATCCTTGTCCATATTGCACTCATCCCCTCTGTTTTTTTTTTTAACAGTAGAGAATTGAAAAATGCCTACAAAGTGCAATTAAATATTCCTCCCCCTCCTAGCAAAAAAGGAGCATGAAAGAGAATAAAGATTAGGGATCACAACAGAGGTAGAAGCGTACTGGTAGGTTTTTGCATTGTAACCTGGCGTGGGTTTTTTATATGCACTTTGCAGGAAAAGGGTAGAATTAATCGATCCCCTCTTATTGTGGAAAGGGAAAGTTTGTAGAGTGGTTTGACCTCTGTCTCAGCTTCAGCCTTTCTATGCGCATTTCAAACCAATTTTTTGTCACACCCTGTGATGGTGCGTGTTTTTTTTCTAAATCTGAGCTCCTGGTTTTTTTCCCCTACAATAGCGGGCAGAAAGCCTAGAGGACACTGCCCCCTCTTATAATCCCTTCTCTGCTCCTCCAGTCTTTCACTGTAAAGTCTAGATCAGCATGGAGTTGAAAAATGAGCAGATGCGTGGCAGACAGATGGTCCTCTCTGTAGTCGTGTTCCGCTGTATTTTAACCAGTAAAGTCAGGATGTCCAGTTCCTGGTAACAACTGTGGCAACCGCCGTAGCAACTAGGAAACACTGGCAGCAAACGGCTTCCTGCGTCCAACAGGCAGGAGGGAACGATTTCTGCATTGGAACTAGATCCTAGATCAACTAGATGTAGTGTCATCAATAGCTGGTAAGTTTGAAACGCTGTTGTGTCAAAGTACTTGGAATTATGCAGAAACAAGTGTTGTGCAATTGCCTTTGTCAGTGCCCTGCTTTATGCAGAGTTAGGGGACCTGACTCTCAGCAGTAACAACACTGAATGGATTTAAAATGTGCTTTAATGTGGAACTGATTGTTGCATTTCTTCTTGATTCCATCTTATTTTGGTTTCGTAACAGGGGAGTTTGTGTAGTTGTGAAACAAATGAATATATTTTGTTGATTTGCTGACTTCAAGATGCATTTTGCAGCAGCTGATCCATTCTTCTCGCTGGGTTTGGTGTGCCAGTTTTCTGAAATGATGTGTATCTGCAAGTCCTCATGAAAAGGGCTCCTAGATCATATCTTTTTAATAAGAGTCAAAATAACATGTAAACATAATATGAGCGCTTCAATATATTTTGTAAATCTGGCATTTAAAATGATAGTGTTAAAATTTCCGTGAAAATTTTACCCTAAGCATGCTAAACACTTTTAAGCAATAAATGGGAAAAAAAATAAAATGGAAGCTTGTCTACTACATCTTGTCAGATCACCAGAGACAGCATCACGTCATCAGTCTTACCGTGACAGCCTCTGAATAGCTGTCGCTTGTCAAATTGAAGCATCTCATTCTTTCTCATGGCAAGCCATAATCCTACTGTTATAAAACTTGATAGGGCAGCTGAAAGATCAAAATATTTCCTCTTAAAACATCACTATAAATAAAACAAGTAACAGGCAACTGTAATCTAACATCATGTTCAAAACCCATCATGTTTACTCAGCTCGTGAACCGCAGTTGTAGTTTCTGTCTCAGCTTGTAAAACAGGGAAGGTTTGGCTGGAACTGTGTACAGGAAAGTTTTAACGGAGAGTGCAGGTATGAAAAGAGAGCAACAAAAGTTGGATGGAGGTGAAAACTGCTTTCATGGGGATTTTTACAGCGTTTCTGCTGTAAATGCCCAGTTTCTGTGGGTGTTTCTGTCCCTCTACTAGGTCTGGATTTGGGTGGCTGAAGATCAGTGAAGTTGGTGATACAGGTTCAGCTGACCTGATCCCAGTCTGGATATTTTGAATTAATTCTGTGAAAAACTTAAACAATTAATGAAAGATACTGAGTTATTTAGGTACATTGGAAAGCATTTGCGTGTGTTGGAAAATGCCAATACGTTGTCTCTTCTACCAACAGATCACAGCTGAGTCCTGCAGGTAGCTGCTTTTGCAAGAATGGCTCAGTTGGCAGGATTCCTGCCTACAGGTCACAGGTATTGCAGTGCAGTGCCAGCCCTGGACAAGTTCTCATGCTCCAGCATCATACCTGCTGTCAGCCTCTGCTGCAGGAGCTCTCTTGTAGTGCCTCCTGCCCGGATTGCTGAGCCCCTCACCCACCAGAGGTAAAATCAAATTCGTGTTTAAGTCTGTGATTTGTTCTTTTTCATGGTATCTAATAGGATAAAACAGGCTGGTGTGTCACATTAGTGAACTAGCAGCTTGAATCATCATTTGAGCTTTCCCCACCTCTGCACTGTCAGTTCTGTAGATAGTATTTACTAAAGTGATTTGCTACCCTGGAGATTATGAAAAGCAAAGCCTAAGTAAAGCTCCTATCAAAGAAACATTCGTTTAATATTATGTGAGTAAAAGCATCTTGCGTTAGCAGCCGTCTTCTGTGAAATGTTTCCAATGCTTTGTGACAGGATTATTTCTTCTGTTTTGAATGTGAACCTGTCATCAGCCAGCAGCTTTGTTGTTTACTTTTCTGCTTTTCTGTCATTCTCTGAGTGCCACAGTGTAAACCATCAGCCACAGTGCTCTCGAGTGCGCCTATGCTGTGCTCTGTGCTGGAGATGGATCCTTTCTCCTGATTTTAAGAGTTGCATTGGCTTGCCATGTAAGCAGCCAAGGGGCTAGCGCAGGTAATGCTGGACTAGTGTACTCTTGGCTTGCTTTCTCTAAACCCAAACCCAAAGAAATTGGGCAAAACCAGGCACTAATGCTTTTTTTCCCAAGTGCAAGGAATTGAGTCGGCACAGTAAGTTTTCTGTTTCTTCCTACGTGCCTTGGCCTGTGGGAGTGCTACAAAATGAGATGGAGTGATCCTGTTCTTTGCTCTTTTTTTTTTTTTTCTGATGACCTGCAGAAGCTGTTTCTCCCAGTACTGACCCATTTTCTTTTTTTTCAAGGTGCCAGTGGATTAGCCAGTGCCTCCCCTCCCCTGGCCCAGCATGGAACAGGCTGAGTGCATCAAGGAGATCTGTGGGCTTAGAAAGCAACACCCCTGTACTGGTGAGAGGGGAACAAGATGGATTTTATTACCATGGTACAGTAAAAGAGGAAATAGAGGTGGGTGACAGTTGCTGTGTGGTAGTCACGGGCATGTGTATGGGGTGTCCAGTCCACCAGCAGTCCTCATGCACCCCCTGAGTTGAGTGTAGTGTTTTCTATTTCAGCTGGTGCATGGAGAGCCGATCACCAGGGCAGGTGATGCTCGTGGTTATGTTAACTCATAAATCTCCCAACGTGCTTGATTCCAGGCTGCCCTCGTCTCCTGCTGCCTGGCACGCCAAGTGAGCCTCGCGCGTGTGGCACAGCCTCATACCCTAATAAACTAATAATGATCAGATCCTTTCTCTGCTCATCCTCCTTTAGTGAATCAGTTTCTAGGAGTCAGCAGGTGTATTTCAGGGATCTACATCTTGTGCAGAAGATGGGTGCCCTCCAAACTCCCAGTTCCTGGTGGGAGCAGTGTTGATGTGCACCTGCAAGGGCAAGCCCTCTGCTTCTGCTGGCACCGGGCATTGAACCAGGCTCAGCGTGAGTGCTGTTGTGAGCAGTGTACTGACTACTGTTGTGTGTAGACACATAACCATTGATGGCACAGGAAAAGCATTCGTGTTTTATGTACACACTTCCAGCTTGAGCCAACTGCAGACCAATGGCTCGATGTCTTTTCAGAAATGTTAGTGAAAGCGTTAATTCATTAGTTTGTTAGCACTTCAAACTTAACTGAAAAAAGAGCCTATTCTTTCTCAAGAACAGGGAAGTACCTCGTTTCATTGTTGATGGAAAACCTTTTGACAGGCCTTAATTTAAAAGAAAATAAAAATTCCCAACAACATCCCCCTCGCCAAGAAGCAGAGTTGGTGTGTATATAATGAGGAATGACTTGGCCATGACTGAGGAACAGGTCTGAAAGGCTTCATTGTCTCTTGTTATCTGGTGCACAGTGTGGGTTGTGAAATCCAGTTCTATTCTATAGGTAGCTTTTTCTGTTGGGGAAGAAACTACAGGCCCTAGTGGCAGTGGATCTGTCTATATGCTTCACTCCTCCTGCCTTCTGGTGAGCCTCCTGGAAATTTCTAGTGCTGTCTCAATGCTGGACTAGCACTACCCACTGTTTAGTTACTATCCAGGCTTTCTGGGTGTTTTGACCTTGCCCCATAGCCAAAGAATGACCTCCTTGTGAAGGTTACATGAACTAATATGTTACAGACTGTTTTTCAGCAGAACTATTATTTTGTTCCTGGTAACAGAGTGAAAGAGGCATGTTCCTGGTAGAGTTTGCCAAACCACTTGTGTCACGTGGAAGACATCCAGTGTATGTGCAAAAAACAGCAAAGGATGACATCCTGGAATATGTGAATGGCATGAAACATTCCTTACTCCCTGGAGACAAAGTGCTGGCACCCTGGGAGCCAGGTATGGTGAGGTATGGCCCAGGAACTGTCCTTGCAGGCATTGAGACAAGGAACCCCTTACGAGGTAAGAAAGATGCTGCTGCCTTCTTCCTTGCCTTGCTTCAGAACAGGAGTGAGACTTGGGATAAACTTTTTCTGGTGCAACTACCAGAGAAACACCAGTGCTCAGACTACAGCTTAGCCTTGCTTAAAGCTTGCAGGAGCTGTTGGGACTTGCTGATGGATATCTGCATGTAACCTCACCAGTCTGACCCTAAGCAAGTTGTGATGCATAAAAACGTCATTTTCTGTGTCTGTGGATGTGCTATTTCCTGTCTGCTTAGACAAGGCTGTGTCTGCTATGTGAAAGACTGTAGCGTTTTCATGAGGGATACAAGTGAGGCAGCTCTGAGGAAGCACCCATCTGTGCTTGAATGTTCATGTCTGTACTGAATGGTACATCTGGGGGTGATTTTTGTCACCTAAACGTCGGAGATTTCAACAGCTCATTCATTTTTCCTATGTCTGACAGTCAAGCTCCACCGACTTACCAAAATACTATTCTTGGAGTGTTGCTGCTGACTTTGGCAGTAACAACAAAAGTTACTCACTCAACGTTTTTATGTTCATCTGATAATAAATTGGAAGGAAAGATGTGGTTGTCACACTGATGGTGCCCTAGCTGCGCACTCTACCCGCTGTGACATTACGGTGAGGTGTTACAGAGAGGGGTGGTGGTTGATACTATTGCCTGACAGGAGTAGAAAGTGCCTAAGTCTGCAAAGTCTTATCTGTAGATGTGCACTGTCCAGGCAGGCCAGTGGCTCATGGCTGCTTACCTTTTCTCTCAACAGCCTCAGAAGATGAAGAAATTATGGTCCAGTTCTGGAATGACAAGAAAGTGAAACTCCCACGAGGCGTGGCTCTGTGGATCCCTCCTAGCTTGTGGGAGAGAATTGCAGAGATGATCCACATGCCCTTCACCAGCAGGGTGAAGGCCAGAGGAAGTTCAGACACAAACTCCTGTGTTTTTTCCTGCAGTCCTACACCAGCCCTGATTCCTGTTTGTGCTGTGCATAGCTTTGCTAAGCACTGCTTGCCCTGCTCACCTTGCTGGCCCCATTTCCATTATCACTGTGATGGTATATGCTGTTTGCCAGCATGTGTAAGGTGCATCTGCTGCTGCCATCCCCATATTGATGCCTGGTGGCCTCTTCCATCCAGGTCTCTGGTCTTTCAGAGTAAAGCTGAAGAGGCAGAGTCCAGTAGCAAGCCCTCTCCACACCTTCTAGAATTGGAAGGCCCAAAACAAGAAGCAGCAGCAGCTCTGGCAGCATCTTCGCTCTCTTCTGATTCAGAGTTGGACCTGGAGCCATTCCCTACAAAAAGTACTGTGGTGGACAGTGCTGTTAACACAGGCTCTGGCTGTCTTGAGAAGACCAGGCTAAAGGACGCTGCAAGACCCAAGTGGAAACACTGGCAAAGAAGCCACCCCAAGTCCCGTCCCAGTAATCCAGGTACCTTTTAACACCTGCACAGGGAAGCAGCAGCCAGAGGGGAAAAAACCTCGATGTGTTCTGGGCCCCCTTTATCTGAGCAGTCTTAGTTTATTGATACAAATACTATAAGTTCACATATCAGCACCTGATACAATACTTAGCCTTCCCCATTTCTGCTGCCTCATCTTGCATGCTACCTCTTCTTTTGGCAACTGATCTGATAGAAAACTACCAGAACAATGGATTTCATTTGGAAGGGTAGATATACCTCTCCGTGTTTTTTCCCCCACCATTTTCCTACACATTTTGTGATGCTGACATCTTCGTTAACCTTGGTAGCTAGGCCATGCAGAATAACCTGAAGGAATTCCTTTCAGGCTTAAAGTGCGTTTTTCCCTCTTCTGAAATGAATGTTTCTCTGTTTTAGTTCTGGTTTCACTCTTGGATGCAATTTTACTCCTTCCCAGGACTTGGCAGCTGCAGCAGCACACCTACAAAAGGCAAGCTGGAATCCGAAGCCATCTCCACTGGGAACGTGTTCTGTGTTACCCCAACGAATCGGGGTGCAATGTTTGAAACCAGCGAGTGCTCTCCCAAAGGGCAACTCACAATGAAAGCAGTCTTAAGAGACCAAGATTTCAAGCTGCTGTCAGGGGTAAGGTAATCTGTATTAACACTGTGTTTATGCAAGTTTGTTTGAAAGAAATATTCTTGTCAATGGTCTGGAAGTTGGATAGAAAAATACATAATTTTTAACTGCTTGCTAAGGCCATACACCAGTTTTGTGATAGGCAGGAAAATTCTCCACTAGTTAAAACAAATCAAAAAGCCCAAAACCCTAAGGAAGGGATGAAACTACTTTGTAAAATGGAAAAGATTATGCCAGTAACTGTGTGAGCAATTCAACAGCGCAGATTTCAGTTCAGAACCCTACCAAATTGCCATTGACATCAACCCAGTGAAGCCCTGTGGAAGTAGGGACCTACATGAGCAGCAGTTTAAACAGCAGATCCCTACCCTGAAGCTGGGCGATACAGAATAAGCAAACTGGCATAGCTAGGAACAAGGACAACATGCTGATTTTCAGGCCTGGTTTCTGTTAGCCATAGTTCTCTCCTGCTTCAGAAAAATGAGGGGAAAAAAATCAAAACGTGGATGCCAAAAAGAAAAAAAAGGCAAGAACTGTAAAGAGGAAGAAAAAAGCTTGCAGGAAGAAGGGGAAGATGAAAGGGAATGGCAGGATCAATAGAGACGCTGTTCTGTGCAAGAGAATCAGGGATACAATAAATTATGTATCAGAAATCAAGTATTAGCTCCACTACCTTCATGCTTGTGCTACTGTGAGCTGACTGCAGAGTAAGACTTTGAAGGTGCTAAACCTGCATAATTTTCTTTTGGATAATATTAATCTGTTAAAAACGTCTTAGTGAACAGAATATACTGGAATATATCTTGCATTCTCATGATTATATGCATTAATTTTGAGCAGATGCCTACCAACCAACTTATTAACTGTATGCCTCCTACTTTATTATTTATATAATTGTAATTACACACCTTTGTAATTGATTTCCTGGGATTTTTTAGGCCACTATGGAGCTCCAGGCAGACATGTTAGCATGTGTCACAGCTGTTCACTGAAGTGACATGCTTTGCCTTCTGGTAAAATTAAAAAGAAAGCAGAGTGGTTTCGTCCTAGCCCCAAACCGACAGCATGAATCACAGTGTATGCACCATGGTAACACAGAGTATAATGACGTACTTTTATTCCTGTAAAATGGCCCTTGGTGTTTTTAAACCTAGAAGGTATGTTGCTACTCCTTGAGATAGCTGAAGCAGTTTTATCATGCAATTCAGGCTGCATGAGAAGTAACTTGCAACAAACAAAGTGAATCTAGAAAGCAGGCTTCCCAGTGGTGCTCTCCGCGAGGTTAATGTTCCCCCCACTGTAGTCACCAAAAATCTTCCTACATTTTAAACGAGCAAAGTTTTTAGTCAAAGCCTAACAGCTTCTGAAAAGCCTTTGGTCTTATTGTTCACTTCTGTGTTTCAGCAGTAAGGTTTGTACTAGCACAGAAATGATACCATTATTAAAGCTGATTTATTTTTTTTCAGACTAACTTCCAAGGGGTTTGTTTTCTGTCTGCCAGGAAGAAGATTTTGCAGCATCGGAGAAACACAGATATAAAGCAGTGAGAAAGAAAACAGAGTCAGATGATAAAAGCAAAGCGACTTGCTCAGAGATGACACACTTGATGATACAGACCATGTCAGAAGAGGACAGACAGAAAAAACAGCAAAGAGCTCACTTGCAACAAAGCAGAGAGAGGTGATCAAACAGAATTCAACTGATGAAGTTCAGGAGCTGGAATTTCAGGTGACCTGCTTATACTATATCAGTGTTACATTTATTAAGCAAATCAAGTTCTGATTTTAGATATTGTTTCTGTAGAGTGTCATTATAGATTTTAATTTTGATCACTGAAAAACTCTGTTTTCACCCACATTGAATTCTAGCGTCCTCATTCTTTATTCCAAGGTGTTATATTGAATTCATTATTTGGACTTGACTTTACAGTTCTGGAGAGATCAGCTAGACTAGCATGACCACTAGAAGCCTGATTAATAGATGCACAGCAAGGGTCAATAAACTTCCAATTCATCTACGGTCCTCTGTAGTCAGTCATAGGAATTTGGCATAGTGATTTCTTTTTGTAGAAAGCCAGAAGGAATGAAGAAACAATTCAAGCTGACAGGTTTTTTTTAGTATTAAAGCAGAAGGGAAAGTAGCCAGAGGGTGAAAGTCCTGCTACTGTAGATGCAAATAACAAAATGCTTAGAGATGCAGCATTGAAATCACTGAATTTTGTATGTTCATGAAAATAATTGAAACCTTAATATCATCAACTACACAGA